AAATAAGATATATCATGTTAATTACGGATATTAAGGGGAAATTGGTTAGGACAGGGCCATGCTGGCAGTTTGCCCCAGTTTTTATTCTTTGTGCAAAGCTAAGCTAACTAGCTCATGGCTGTAGCTTCATATTTACAGTGTAGACAAGAGAGTGGTATCCGTCTTTTCATCTAACTCTCAGCAATAAAAGAAAATATGAGTGTATTACGTAAAACCTCGAACTACTGCTGTAAGCCTTTGATGGATTCCACACATAAAAGCCTCCCTTTTTACCAAATGTCACTCTCGAAACTTATTTTTAGCTTACATCTATAAAGTGGGCATGAATCACCAGTGTTTTTTCCTTTTGGAAATCATTTGCATACCTTCATACAGGTGGCTGCAGCTCTTCCCCCATTAATGCCAGTTTCACCCCTCTTTTAACAGTTATAAAGTTGCCAAAGATGTGTATTTTTAAAAGTGCCTCACTCAAGTTACTTCCGATCTTTGGCGCAGTATACATCATGTACTTGGATTTGCCTGCCCTCTATCTGAAATTCCCTTCTTAATCTTTATTTCCCTGCTCTCGTCCTTATTCCTAATGGGAGGGAGCACAAATGACTTTTTTCAGTTTCCATTCCAAATGAACCGTGAATTACAGTTTTTTTCATTTACCTTAATAAAGCAGTGGTTTATGTTTTTGTTAGGAGCTTTCAAATCAGCTAAGTGAAAAGGCTTTTGAGTTAATGAAATCAGGCAGCACTATAATAAGTACATTGATGGTATTCGGCTCAGTTTCTAGACCGTCCAGAAGCATTTTGAAGGTGCGGTCTGTTACAACCGCCAATCAATCAATCAATGAATAATTTTGTTTGTCCAGAGTGGGCCAATAGGTTATGCAGCAGTGGGGTGCATACATATAGCACACATAAAACACAGGGCACAGTTCAAGCAACTGCTCTCAGCTTTGTTGTCATCTCATGTCGACTCATAAATAAACCAGAGAAAGTGAATAAAATGTCATAACCCAATAGTTAACTGCTGCCAAGGCCCTCAATTACCTAAACTCAATGCTTTATTTTATGTTATAGCAATTTGGTACTAATTACAGGGAAAATGGAGTACATGTCAGATTGTTGTTTGAGTTTAGTTAGCTGTGTTGAGTTCAGAGGAAGTTGGTTTTCAGAGTTTTGTCAAAAAAAGGAAATCTTAGAAATGGAAAAACTTAACATTTTGGAGGCTCTATTGGCAGACATGGAATACAATGTTTATAGGTATGTTTTCATTGGTGTATAATCACCTGAATATAGGAATTGTGTTTTTGTTACCTAATGGCCTCCGCACACCAACC